GGGTTAGCCTTAGTTCAGAGGAGCAATCCCTCCTCCAGGTGCTGGAAGGAGGGAGGAAACAGATTAGGTGTGGAGGCTGGATAGCGAGGGCTTCCTGACCAGTGGCCAAGATAGTTCAGCTCTGCCCCAAATATAGGAATAAGCTGTGCATACAATTATTAATAGCACTACCACCACTAATAATGGAGTGATTCCTCATGAATGTGGTCACTCCTCCCATTTCTGGCAACCTCGAGTTCTAGAAGTGAGCAAAGACAGGGGCCCACGCAGCGTGTTCTCTGTGAGACAGGAGCTGTCTGTGCCCCAGGCTGACTAGTGCACAGAAGACTAAGGTCCCCGATTCAGTGAGCTGGGTCCTTCAGTTTCTTGTTTTTTCTCCAGCAGCCTTCCATTTCAACCCAAGGGAGACCGGGCAGCAGGTCGGGGTGGGCGTGCTGCAGAGTGCATGGGGGAGGGGACAGAGAACTGCCAGCCAGAAGAGCCAGGTGGGCTACCTGAGAACCTTTCCACATGAGGGGCCTCTGGAGGACCTTCTGATTGGAGCTGGGGAATGAGGTATTTGAAGGATGACAGTAAACATACTGTGTGTTCATGTTGCGGAACGCCCTGTGTGGTCTTTCAGGTCCTGAGACTGCTCGGTTCCAAATCTTGAGCTGTTGTTGGTTTATTTATTCAACAAGCATCTGTTAAGCACATACTGTGTGCTTCAGAGAGTGACAGTGTAAAAAAGCCGGTTGGTCCTTATGCTGGCCAGCCAGTGTATAGGCTGAGAGAGCCTTCCCCTGGGCCCACTCTAGAAAAGAAGACCCCGCACTTTTCTCATTCCTCAGAACCCTGACCCCCTCCAGCCCACCCCCAGGGTTCCACAATCCCCTCCTCCTGGCTCTTGGGGGCCAGAGGTAGTTTCTGCTGAGAGCTAACCAGTGGAAGTCTCGAGGCCTTTTAATAGCAGGTAATGTTTCTGTGAGTAAGAGGATCTACCTGACAGTTAATTATTCATGGCATGGGGGAAGTGGTCCCCTGAGCACTTCCTCCCTCCTCCTAATAACATCCAATAACCTGGCTTGGTCCCTGGGGCGGGTGGGAGGATTGGGAGAGGAGAGACCTGTGTAGGTCTGGACTTCGGTTCTTGTCTTCTCTTTGGCCCCTGCTGGTGGGTGTGAGTCCCCTGGAGACTTGGTCCCATCTCTCCTTCTGCCTGAGGCTGAGACCCTCAGCTAGTGGAAAGAACTGTGGTGGCAGGAATGTCACCTCCACTGAGCTAGAGTTCCAACTGCAGGGTCCTAGGGATATTCAGCCCCATGCCCATTTTGGTGGGGAAGCTGATGTGCAGGGAGGAAGGGTGGTATCCCAGGGCACACAGCAAGCTAGAGGAGGCCCAGGCCCCTGATGCCTTATCTAACCCCTTTACACCGCCCTGGGGGAGGTCCTGTGACCTTGGGCCCGTCTTTCCCTTCCTTCATTACCACCACCATCATTGCTGGTATTTACAGGGTGGAACTGTTGCTGTTGGACTTGAGATCAGGCTTCTTGCCCTTTTCAAAGGTGACAGGGAAGTTCAGGGTCACCCTGGTCCTTCAGATGTGAAAAGCAGAGGCCTCTCCCGCAAGTTCTCCCAGATCATGGCCCATCAACCTGATGTCCGGATTTAGCTTCATTCAGTCTGGCTGCTGAGGATGCCGAGTAGCCAGGCCTTGGGTTTCCACAGGTGAATTCTGTGGATGTAAGTAGGAGGGACTCCTCCCAGCCAGTCCTGGGAGAGGCTGTTTTCCCCCAGAGACCCTCAGCCAGTTGTACTGGCTGACCTGTACCCAGGTGCAGAGCATCTGATGCAGTTGTGAAGGGTAGGCCCTGCTCTGGGCAAGTAGTCCAGCTGGCGGGAGCCTGATCCTGTTTAGATTTAAACCACAGCAGTACTTGTTTAAGAACAGTTTGGCTTCAATAACACTATTTTTGGAGATAGCATTCATAACGATTAAGTACTCAGACCCTGTCACCGGCTGCCTGGGTTTGAAGCCTGGCTTTGCCACTTACCAGCTGTGTGGCCTTGGGCAAGTTACTTAGCATCTCTGTGTCGTGGTTCCTTATCAGTAAAATAGGGAGATTGATGATGCCTACCTCATAGATAAATCTAAGAGGATTAAATGAGTTAGTACATCTAAAGCACTTTTAGTAGGGCTGGCACGGAAAACACAGTATAAGACCATTCTTATTACAAAAATACTTCCTAAGCTCTTACGTTATTTGGCCTCAACAACTAGCACCGGCTGACAACCCTCCCACTGGGAGTTTCTCTAGGGCTGGTGGGTAGAGTGGAGGACACAGGTCACACAGGCCCCAGGGAGGGGTGAGGCTGGAGATGGGCCTGAAGGGATGAGTAACATTATGCTCAGGCCAAACGGCAGATACCAGTTGGGCACCCACTGTGCATAGGGCTGTGTGCTGGGTGTTGCAGGGCATGAGAGGCTCTCCTATAAGGTGGAGTGAAGGGTGGGACCATTTCTCTAGGGGGATGCACTTCCCGTGTTGTCTGGGGTCTGTACCCTTTTCTGGCGGCTGCCAGTATAGCATATCCGTGACCTTACTCTGTGCACCAGCAGGGGCTGGTTACACCTCTAGTCCTAGCCTCTGGGTGACCTCATAGGCTGGCTGACCGAGCCCCTCACAGCCCCTCCCAGGTCTGGGTTGCTGGCACCTTCCTAGAGGTGGTCCCCATGGGTGCTGCCCACACGGGGTCCCCTTAGGCAGGAAGTGCCCGTTCATAGCGCTGGGCCCTGGGTGGGTGGGAGATCTCTGTGTGAGGCTGTACGAACAGCCTGACTGATTATTCATTGATTTCTTCTCATGGTAACATCTCAAGAGGATATTTCCTTTCCTGCAAGGTGTTGGCAGAGGCTAATGAGATGGTAGGGGGTGCCTGGGGCAGCCCTGTGCCATTTACCTCCTGTCACTCCTTTGCTTTTCCTTTTGCTGAGCCTGTGGTACATCCGAAGGTCTGAGAAGCCAGCAGGTGGTGGGGCAGATAGGTAGGGAGTATAGGAGGGGGTCAGGTGGACAGGAGCTGGGAGTCAGGCCTCCGTTCAGCAGACCTTTGACCCTCCAGCCAGATTCTTCCCGTGTCACGATGGGAAGCAAAGAGGACTTTCTATCCCCTCGTGTGGTCTGGGTAGAGTCAGCTTGGTGTGATGGTAGAGGGCTGGTGTGAGGGCTGGGATACCAGAGTCCAGCTGTAGCGCTGCCATGAGGCGCTGTGTGATCTCAGGCAGGTTGCTTCGCCTCTCTGGTCCAGCTCCAGGCCCTGTCTTTGAAATGAGGACACTGTACTGAATGATGGGACCTGGCCTTCCACAGGCTATCGTGGTTCCACCTTCCCTGTGCCTTCTTTCCAGAAGCATTTGGAAGTCCTTAGAAGAGGGCAGGCAGGTCATGCCAGGTCACGAGGGAGAGTTATTAGGCAGCCCGACCTGCTCTGGGAGACCGTCTCCTCTAGCTGGAGGAAATAACTTGTCCATGGGGCACATCCAACATTTCACTGGTAACCTGCCCCTGCACTTTCAGAGGGCGCCTGTGCCTGATGACGTTCTCTTTTCCAGGTGAGGAGTTTTACGAGGCCTCGCCTTACGAGCCAGTGACCTCCCGCCTCTCCGACATCTTCAGGCTTGCTTCAATCTTCTCAGGTAAGTGGCCTTGTGCTGGGGCCTCGCCAGTTTTCCTCTGGTCCCAGTGTGGCGGATGGAGCCCTGGGCCTGGCTCAGGAATCCTGGCCTTTAGCACCAGCAAACCCCTTAACATCTCTGAGCGTCATATCCTCATATATAAATGAGACATCTGAAACCTGATGTCACTTTTATCTCCTGTCACCTGTCTTGCCCCGATAGGTCCGTCTTTCTAGTTCCCCAGCTCTTCTGTTCCAGTTGTTCAAGCTCTTTGTGCCTCAGTTTCCTCAGCTGTGCAATGGGGAGCATGCCTACCTGGAGCATTGTTGTGAGGCCTAAATGAGCCAGTGGTTGATAAGGCTCAGCGTGCTGCTGGGTGTGGTGGTTGGCATTCGTGTCACTGCTACCCATTCTGCTGTGGGTTTCCCTCTTCCCTGAGCACCCCACTGAAGGGGGGCCCCGAGCCTCAGCCACTCCCGCCCTGCCTGCCCCAGGGAGGGAGAAGGCCCAGGTTGAACTCCAGCTTTGCTTGCCGTGGTCCACGTGTAGAAGACAGATGAGTTTTTGGGTTCTTTCTTCTTGGCCTTGTTTCTTCTGCCACTTGGGGGCTCAGCGGGTCCAGGGCCGGCTGCCCCGCTTGGGCACTGGAAGGTGGCTCACGGTCTTGGACTTGCTCTATGGGAGCTGGAGCTGAGCGCTTCCTCCAGTCACCACTGGTGCTTAAAGGTGGCAGGGTGGGCTTGTTCCCTGGGATTCCTGTGTGCAGCGCCCCAGGCTTACAGATAGTTTCTTGGCAGTATTTGGAACCTTCCAGAGTTTCTTTTGCTCTAAGACAGGGTTTCTCAACAGCACCATGACTGATATTTTGGCCTGGGTAAGTCTTGTGGGAGGAACCATCCACCCTGTGCATTTAGGATGCTTAGCAGTGTCCCTGGCCTCTGCCCACTAGATGCCAGTAGCATCCCCTCCACAAGGTGTGACAACCCCAAATGTCTCCAGATGTTGCCTGGGGGCACGGTGGCTGCCAGTTGAGACAGGAATGACACGAGTGAGCCCCCACGCCCTTTCAGATGAAGAATTCTCTAGGACACTGTTGCTCAAACTTTTTCCCCCATTATTATTCCCTACAGAGAAAATGTAATTTTCTGTAACTAGGGAAATACTATCTTAGTCTGCTTGGGCTGCCGTAACAAAAATAGCATAGACCAAGAGGCTTAAACAATATAAATGTAGTATCTTACGGTTCTGGAGGCTGGAAGTTCAAGATCAAGGTTCGGCAGGTTTGGTTTCTGGTGAGAGCTCTGTCTCTGACTTGCAGATGGCCACCTTCTCACGGTGCCCTCACAGGGTGGGGTGGGACAGGAGAGTTGGTGGGGGCCGAGGGGGAGAAAGAGAGAGATCCATCTCTTCTTATAAGGTCACAGTCCTATCAGATTAGAACCCCACCCTTATAACCTCATTTAACCTTAATTACCTCCTAAAATCCCTCTCTCCAAATATAGTCACATTGGGGCTTACAGCAATTTGAGGGGCACACAACTTAGCAAATGCCAAGAAATAAAATTTTGTGAGATAGAGTTGAGTTTTGGAGGGCCACAAACCATTGTAATACCTATTTTTTTTGCCAAACCAAGAACCAATTTTTATTCCCTTGAGGGTGACACCATCCTCTCTTGTTGAGAATGCATGTTTCAGGGATTGAGATGGGACAATACCCATGTGCCTGGTGAGAGAAACCCTGGACACTAGTGAGAAGGGAGGCATTGACCAAAGGGTGACCATGTGGACATGCCCTTGGGCTCTGGTGGTGGTGGTGAATGGAATGGATGCTTCAAAGATGGTCTGTGTTGAGCTCTCTGCCCTGGGCTCTCACCATTAAAGCCCACCCCACCCTCCCCCGGGGTAATAGCAGAGATGTCAGGTGGCTCTGCATGTAGGCACTGTGATAACTCCTTGCCCATCCGACAGCACTGCACTGGGTGAGGGGCTGGCTGAGGTCCCTCCTAGCATACACATTCTGATTCTCACATTTCCTGATTCATTTTGGGCAGAAATCCACCTTGGACCACTCCTCTGAGACTGCTTGGAGGCACAGATGCAGGTGGAGCATATCATTGGCATGTGGATGCTATGGGGGGGATGCCCCCTGGCTCTGATGTATCCATTTCCCACCCTGCTAGTAGCTCAGGTACCAGCTGAGTACTGCTGCATGGGTGGGAGCCACTGGGTTTAAGTCCAGTAAAAAAGTCGCTTTGGATTACTCCCTGAAGGTTGAAGGTCAGAAGTCCTCATTTTAGTCAGGCCCCTGCTGCTTCCTGGGCTCACATTAAGTATCTTCTTAGCAGAAAATCTTTACATAATGGACTTGACACTGTGGAACAAGGATGTTGACAAGACAAATGAGGAAATTACTGGGTCTGCGACTCACTAAATCAGCATCCTTCACCTGCTGCCCTGGATGCTGGGCTCTGGGGACCGCGGCCCACAGTGAAGGCAAGGCTTCGGGATCTGGGACAGTTCCCTTCTTATCACCCCTGTTGACTCTGCTCCACCCACAGCAGCCCTCAAGTTGGTTCATGGGAGACTCTGTGGGGAGACAGAGGTGGTCTGTCTTGGGTGCATAGGTGGGTGAGGAGGCCCTGGGCTGGCCACCAAGAAACCAAGTGGGCCATGGCAGGCTCAGCAGAGACAAGGCTGGTTGGGGAGCTGGGAGGCCCAGGTTCCAGGGCATTCTCTGCCACAAATCAGCTGAAGGAATTGGGCAGGTCACTCCCTGCTCCAGACCTTGCATTTTTTTTCTGAAGAAAGGAGATGTGAATGTAGAGCAGTGCTCCCCAACCTTTCCCTGTCACTGTGCCAGATAATGGCAGTATTGTTGGCATATTTGGATGAGCAGAGCAGCTTGGGGCTCAGCGATTACAAGCCCCTGCCAGCTGAGGGGTCAGTATCTGGCCACACGAGTTACCCGCCCGTAGCTCGCTAGTGGGAAGGCCTGGCCTGGGTGACCCAAGATCTTGCACGATGCCTATAGGGCTGGGTGGAGCTCCTCTCACTTCCACACACCTATATTTGGCTGTGTGCTACCCCCAGTGTTGGTGGCCCTCCTCTCGGCCCCACTGCCCCCAGCTGGGGCCTCAGGGACTCAGAGAAGGGTGCTGCTGTATCTGTGGGGCTCAGTTGCTGTTTTCTCTTTACTGTCTGAGAATTCAGGGCCCTGGTGCAGGGTGTCCTGGAATGTGTGTGCTCTTTATCTTTCCCCTTCTCTTTCTGGTGGGGTTCTTGGAAAGTCCCACGGGGCTTCTGTTGGCAAAGAAAGCTGTTAGGACTCCCCAACACTCCCTGACACCAGAGGCCCTGGGGGAAGGATGAGCCCTCCCCTCCTCTCTGCCCAGTTCAGACATGTGCTCCAGGGTCAGTGACTGGCTCTGGGATTCCTGGTGTCCAGTTAGTCCTAAGTCCAAGGCCAGGAGGAGAGCAGTCTGGCTCCACCCTGAACCAGGATGAGTAATGTTGGAGGCATCCAGTGTCCTGCCCTAGCCTTGTAGCTGGGAAAGGAGATTTCATGGAGAAGAAACAAGGTTCTATTTCTAACAATTCAAACTGCCCTTGAAACCATGAAGTGGAGTATGTAGTGCTCCAGTTGTACCTCGCACGTGGGAAGAGTGTGTGGGCCTTGAGCCACAGAGAGTTGGGTTTGAATCCTGACTCGTCCACTTAAGGCTGTGTGATCTTGGCCTCACTGTGGCCTTTTGGAGCTCTAGTGCATATGTTTGTCAAATGGGAGTTTGACACCTGCTAATAGGGTTGATAAGGAGGATTCACGAGAATGGACACAGGGAGAAGGAGAGTCACCCTCTCTCTGCCGAGGACATTCAGTTGAGTCAGGTGCCTTCTAGAGCGGATGCAGGGGCGGAGGAGCTAAAGTTGGGAGTCTCTCTCTCTGTCCCCCAACATCTGTGACCTTGTGAATACTGGATCCCAGCTGGGCTTATCTAGTTTGGTCTGGGGAGGCTGGAGAGGCTGTAATAAGAGAGGACAGAAGGGCTTCTTAGGGAAAGAAGAGACTGTCCAGGCAGAGAGAGGTCACTGAGGGGCAATGTGGAAAGTGAGGGGAGCAGAGATGCCCTGTCCACCTGGGGGGAGGCCTTCCAGGTGAGGACTAATGGGGCGGGCAGGCCAGGCAGTGGCTTTCGTCCCAGTGACAGGCAGATGGCTGCGGCCGGGCTGCCTGGGCATCCTTGGTGAGGGGCGGGGCCTCCAGGGCCTGCAGCGTTCCAGGAGAGCATCGCCAGATGCTTGGGCATGGAGCATGTTTATGCAAACTTGTCTTTTCTGTAGCTGAAAGGGAACTTAGAGATCATCTAGACCCACCCTCCCTCTGACAGAAAGGGAAACTGAGGCCCAGAGAGAAGGTACAGACGTAGACTGAGGTCAAATCCTGGTTCTGCCCCTGCCAGTGTCTACCTCCGCAGGTGTCTCACGTCTAAGCCCCAGTTTCCCCTTGCACAACATGGACCGATAGAAAAACCCTACCTGCCAGGGTTTGTGAGGACCAAATGAGATACTGCAGGGAGGTGCTTGGCGAGTGCCTGGCACATTGCATCGAAATGCGTAGCTGTTAAAACTGCCTGCAGAGTGATTTCTTCCAGGGAGAATGGCAGGCTGTGGCAGGGCCAGCCTTGAACTTAGTATGTGGGAAACACATGTCTTTGGTGATGTGAGGCTGCCTCCCGCCTGCAAGAGTGCTGGGCGGGGGCTGGAGTGGGAGGCGATTGGGAGATTTTCAGGAGGCGGTAGGACCCCAGGGCTCCTGCTGAGCTGCTATGGCCTTTGTTGCTCTACTGTGACTGGGTGGGGACACATGGAAGTTGGCGAGAGGCTGGGCTCAGGCACTTTTCTGGGTTGGAGGAAGAAGAGATGGGTGGTAGCTGCTTCAGTTGGACAGCAGGCCTCTGGAGGGGGCCATCTTGCTTGGATGGGGCCAGGAGAGGCCCAGAGATGTTCTTGATGGAGGCTCTGGT